TATTATGCAAAGCTTAGAGGTTGAGAAGAAGAAGTATTTTTGGCAATTAAACTAAAAATCGAATAAATCATTATCTACTTACGTATCTACTTAGACCATCAAGTTATTACTCTTATTATGTATAGAATTTTGCATACATTTAAGTTAAGAATATAACTTATGGACGACGAACATGATTCGATTCCGTTTTATTTTGGTGGCACAATCAGCAAAGGCGTCAAAGCATCGTTGGAGCTTCTTTGTTATTTCACGAGGCATCCTACCCTTGACGGTTATTGCGGTATCATCTGCGAACAGGAAGAACACCCAACCGTCTCCGAGGGGAGAAATGTCAGAAGTGTAGATGCTGTAAAGCAAAGGGCCCAACAGATTTCCTTGCGGAACTCCTGCTGGGATAGAGAACGTGTTTGAAAGGCACTAATTCAACGATACCCTGAACGACCTTGGCTGAAGGTAGTTACGGGTGATTTTAACAAGATGCAAAGAAAAGTTGAAGTTACGAAGCGGATATAGGACAGACTGTGGTATTTTATCCCTTTCTTGACGATGGTCGCAATACCACCCCCTCTGGAGCTGGTACGATCAAGCCGAATGATGTTGTAGTCCGGCAACCAGCAACTGTCGCCGGACTTGAGGTGGGTCTCGGTGAGGAGGCCTACGTCGATGGTATGCTTGCGGAGGAAGTCCGCAAGGTCGATGGTTTTTGCTCTTAAGGAGCAAGCGTTCCACATGACTATGCACAGTGGTTTAGACGCCATAATGCATAGCCAGTTTCACGATAGTTTCAAACTGTTCGTTCTTGTTGGTGCACTTGCGGAAAGCGCTGGTAACATGGACGTCCATCGAGTACATACCTCCTAGCGTTGGCGGTGTTCTCCAGGATCCAGGGGGAAGTGGAATTTGTTCACCGGGCGTTGGTTGGGTGGGGGGGGGGGGGGAGCGGGTTGCACTCGCGGTCGCTGGTTGATTCGAAGAGGTGGAAAATCGCCTGGCCCGAAAGTCGCGGACTTATTTTTCTTACGTCCTGGTTGGCTGGTGGTCAATGCATCCTTTCGGATACGCTTGAACTCCTCACGTTTGTGGCATTGCCTGTCGGAGCCCTGATGAGCACCACCACAGTTGACACACTTGATAGCCTCAGGACTGGGCAGTCGGTGGAGGCATGGTCCTTGGTGCAGAAGCTGCAGCATGGGTTGATGTTGTAATTTCGGGTGCCGTGCCCGAAGTTGAGGCAGCGCTCCCTGGCGTCGTTAGCATTGGAGCTCAGTACGGAAAACAAATCTCGCGTCACTTTTCAATAGGTCCTATCTACATTGATTGATTCTCTTCATCGACACTCTCTTTTGTAAATAACTCGGCTTCACAAATGTTTCCTACCGTCTTCGTCGAATTAGATGCTAGATTGTTGCTTCTTCCATCGAAAATATCCGGCCGTGGCGATTCAAAGTTGATCAAGCTGGATCAAAATAATTTGTACCCATGCTTCCAGTTTGATTACATGAGCATTTTGTGTGGTCGTTGGTTCTGAATATGGACAGGCATATGAATTCTATTCCTACTCTTTACTGTAATAAGATTGGTGGCCCTGAAAAGAGCCGTTTTGTTGCCAAAGTTGGTGATGATTTAACCTCCGAAACCAAACAGAGTGCGTCTCTGTCACTTCAAAACGTAGATGACATCCATGGCCGCTTACGCTTGGCGTGTTTATTGAAGGTGACAGCATCACGGATCTCATTTTTCAGGAATATCTTCAGCTCACCTCGTAAATCAGACCGGAGATACGTCAGACACCGCCACGGCGAGCCAGACGACGGATGGTGGTTATGTCGAAGAATTTGCGTTTGGTTCTGAATATGGCGATGAATGTGCAAAATATTACGCAATTCCATCCTCCCTATTCGCACGTGCCCGAGGATTGGAGGCGAATGCCACTTCGACTTGTTTCGTCTACTTACTACTCTCTGACGACTGTGCTGGGGAAGCAGCATATGCATGTAGGTAATTGGTGGATTTGTTAGTTAATTCGACGCGTTTGGACAATGCTGGACATTTACCAGATTTTCAATAGTTTCTTGTTGAAAATCAACATTCCGAAGCATTGTTATCGATGCGTAGCCAAATTGCTGATCGATTGGTGATAAAATTATTGAAATTTGACCAGGGCAGCTGAGTTATTAACGTTCAAAATCTTCCTTAATTTGTTAAATGTTCCATTTTCGGTTTTCACAAGGTGTACTGCCGGTAATCGCAAGTCAGTCCCATCTGAATTTTTATAAATTTTGAGTTAGCATCATTATCAGTTTATCTTTCTATGTTTTTTGAGATGTGCTATTGAAAAAAGGTGGTTTGTTCAAGAAAAATGAAAAACAATACCAAGTCAAATTGTCCCTCAGCGAAAAGTAACCGCAAGTCAGTCCCATTAGAAAAAATATGTTAGAAATGTTAGACAACACATCGCATCATGAGATTTGTTTAAAGACAGATTTGCCCACTTCCCCTATGGTATCTGGAACATGTCCGGATGTGGCCAATATAGTTGTTACGATACTCAGTTTGACCGCCAATCGATATGGCTTTGAATTATCATGTGATTTGATGTATCGCTTGATGGATTTTGATTTAAATGGATTTACCACACCCCCGGGGGTACCTTACATGTCCGGGTGTGGCCAACATGGTGCTGTTCACTCATTATGACTCTTATTGATCTTATTTTTGAATTCTCATGTGTATTGATTTATCGCATGGTGGGTTTGGCACGTTTATGAAAAGCTCTGGTCTGATGAAGAGCCATACTCACCGGAGTATGTTTCGGCCATTGCTCTGGAATCAGCGAAACAAATCCAGAAACATTCAATAACGTTCTATGGGACCACGGTATCTTTCTACTGTTCAATACTGTGCTAAACTAATGCAGCATCGTCATGGAATTGTGACTGACTTGCGGTTATTTTTCTCATTCACGTTAAATGTAATCGCAAGTCAGTCTCACTCAGATTTTGGCCATAAAATAAAAATTTTACGATATTTTTTCAATATTTTTGAGTAAACATAGATGCATTCTATCACTTTGTACGTTTATTTTTAAATTTATCCCTCCAACATAAGTGTCAAATCAGAAAACTTGAAAAATCTTTGAACGCCGTTTTCCCATTTCCAGTTTTTTACAGATGGGACTGACTTGCGATTATGGGCAGTGTTACTACAGTAGCCCCATATAAAAATCAAAGACGTAGTCCTACGTCAAAAATATGGCGAAACAACAGGCAGATACAAGGAGGAGGTAGTTATCAAACAAATGCAACCAGTTAGTACCTAACCACGACTGCTGACACTGGGAAGCTACTGCAGGTCTATTGCTGCTACTACTATCGCCGGTGGGCATTTTAGGTCGAGTCCTTCCTATTTTTCAGATTGTAGCATTACCCGAGTAGCATGATGATATTGCAAACAAGATTCATCTTCCACTTGCCGGTTGGATACTTGGTTTCGGCAAACGTCTGCCAGAATGACGCACGGTAGAGAACTGTCTTCTCCTGGATGGACAACTTCTGCCATCAGTCACCCTTCTCCTTCTCGTGGAGTGGCTAATCTTCGAGTGCCATTTTCTTGAAGCGGATGACCGGCAACCAGCTTGTTGAATAATATATTGGAATTAAGTTTCACGACCTTTTCCGTCCTTGACTTGAAAATGTAAACACACAATCTCAAAAATCAGGTTTGCCAAACTCATGGGTTACTGAGACTGCTGACTTGATTGCCACACTTCAGTACGTTCGGTACAACGCTTGACCTAGCTTCCGGCACAGATTGGGATGTACAGAGTTGAATACCCCTTGAAGAAAATATTTTTTTTTATAATTTAATTTAATTTAAATCATTGAAACAAATATTAACACTGATTTTTTTGCAAAAAAAAAACAAAGATGAAAAGATTTGTTTGAGCAAAATCACTGACTTCAATTTGGTAACCCTGTTCAACATCCACCTAGACACGCACCAATCCGATTGGGAGTTTATTTTGTTAGACCAGACTAGGTTTAGGATCCGTTGAGAGCCACCCTAACAAACTCGGCGGTTGGATTTTGTTACAACCATCAACGTCTCGTGTCTACACATTTATTGATCGCCCGAATTCACTGCAACCTAGGGATGTGCCAACCCAAGTTGAAGCTTGATTTGTGTTAACTATATAGGGCCAAAATCATGAGTAATTTTCTGTTAAGCTAGCAAAAATGCCACATCAATCATTTGAGGTTAGGTTAAGACTTATACTTAATTAAAGAGACTGTCAACCTGTGGCTGGCACATCTCCGATCAATCATTTATTTGAGCAACCGAAAGCTCGCAACTCTATCTACAATTTGATTTATTAACAAATATCCTCAAACTACACCGATTAATTAAATTGTACGAGACTTCATGAGAAAAATCATGCTTTTAAAGTGATGAGAGAGGATTCGGAATTCCCTTTGGGATTCCCTGATTTTGCTGGATTGAAATTTAATTTTATGAGATTTTTAATTTTCTTCAAAGGTAGTCGACGCTTTTAAAGCAAAATCATTCCCTTATGCAAGAAATCAGCACTCCAATATGAAAAGTCATTTGCGAACATTTGTTCAGTTAGAACATTTTCCGACTCCAAAATCTCTACGATTTAGGATATTGATTTTTTTTATTAGTCACAGGATTTGTGTATTGTCCCGGAAGCTTGCATCTGTGATTTCACCTGAAATCAAATCTGAGTTCCGGATTAATTCACATTGATAACTGATCATTTTTCCAAGCCCAAGGGTATGGAAACAAATTAAAAGCCCTAGATTTCAGTGGTTGTAGCGGTAAAATTTGTCTTTGGGTTCATTTAATTGCTCGAGTTTCAGTATTCTATTTCATTTTGGGAGAAAGTATGAGTGTATTAACTTCTAGGTATGAACATTGAATATTTAATAGAACTTATAAATGAAACAAGACTAACTAATTCTCATAAAATCATAACTTACCAATTCCGCTGCTATGATCTAAACAAAATTAGTCCTGTATGTTCATCTGCCTCCCTGCATATGAGTCGTAGTTCATGCGTTATTCTTCCTTGAATTCAAGTGTCGGTAGCTTATAATTGTATAAATTTTCCCTTAATTGTACACCGAATTCACAAACACTCTTCCCCAGCTTCCCGCTACTTGAGCTGCATACTGCAATTATCCACGAAAATTTGCAATTCGCCGATCTCACTATCTTCGGAACGACTAGCTAGTTTCTCCTGCGAAATTCACAGTAAAAGAACACTGTTTTCTCTGTCGATACGCCAAACAGCTCTCGCACACAAACACACACACACTTATACCGACGCACGCCAACACTTGGTCGAACTTCAGGGAAGCGAATCCTCCTTCCACTTGCGCTATATGTGCAATGCGCTCGCAATAGCCCGCTTCTTGCCCGGCCTCCCTTCGGCTCACAACATCGCATTCCGCCAGCACATCCTGCCTGGCACCAGAAAGAGAGAAGCACCACCAACACTTTCCGTTTCCTTTGCACCAATTACCCACTAGGACTCCGCTACGACGGCGTCGACGAAGGAGCCTATTCAACTTTCACCCGAAACAACAACCGCTGCCAATCCTTCTGCTTCTTCTTGTTGTCGTTGCTATTCTCCTGCTCGCCAACCTCGGCAGGATGGGTGGAAGGTGGTTGAATTTTCACCACCCACTCTTCGAATCCAACCTGCGCTTCACACACTCATTCCCTTCGGCTGCTGCTGCCGGACTGCACTGCGACCGATATGCGTTCCCCCTGGGGTGGGGTGGTTCATTCAAACAAAGCGGGCGCACGGACACTCCACCAAATTCACATTTCCACCTTTCCACCTATTCCTCTGTTTTCTGTGTGTCTCTTCTGCGGGGGAGGAGATCTTGCGGAAGCGAAACACCGATTCGACTCGGACCGCGATAAGAATGGAACTGACGGCGACCGATGACGTTCGGGAACTGTTGAGCTGCCGCTGGTTGACTCTTTGTGGTGGTGGGTGATGACGACGGATTTTTTGAGAGCGAGAGGGAACTCACAAACACTCGAGAGTTGACAGTGGCATTGCAATGGCAAGGAGGGTACCCTTTGTGTAATCAGTGCGCTCCTGCTCCTGCTGACTTGCTGATAAGGGGAAGGTGCGAGGCATGCGCGAAACGATGCCCTGGTCTCGTCGGTCGGTTATCAAAGAATTTGGTTTGCATCCCGGGAAAGGTGGGTGATGTCAGAATGGTTGGGACTTTGTTTCTGACGTTGACTGGCAGAAGTGACTCAAGTGACATTGTCACTGGATTTATTTGATAAACATTTTTTTTTTTTCATTAAATGGAAAAGTTTCACCGGGTAATAAAAAGAGTTAGGGACTGTTCTCAAATTACATCATGCAAGGGAGGGGTTCTTGAAATGTGTTTTCATAGAAAATGTTTGATTTTTTTTTCACATACAATTTATTCAGTTAAAATGAAGAATTCTCATGGATGAAGAACTGCCAAGGCGTTGGTAGGAGAAAAACCTCGAGAAAGAACATTTTAGTCTGACTCTTTACTGGTTGTTTGAGGAAACATCATCGTTGAAGGATTCGATGTTAAGGCAGAGAATGTAAACAATGATTTATATTTAGTACAAATAAATAAAAATGTATGACCTATTATGTGCTAACGTCGTGATATTTATGGAGATCACAGGGAATGAAATTCTTAGAAAATTCCTAGATGTTCATGAGAAGAATATGAAGAGAATTCAGAAGATGATTTAAAGGAAATTTAATGCGATCACCTAGGTTATGCTGAGGAGAATTATTGAGAATTCTTAGTTGTTTTTAAGCAAAATTTCAAGGTTATTCATAATCGTAAAGTTAAAACTTTTTAGCTCTAAAATAAATTATGAGTAAAGAACAAAAATAATTAATAGAATTATGGCCATGCAGTGAAGTATTTTTAGGAATTATTAGGCATTTTTAGTATTGTTTAGTGAATTACGAACATGAGTGCTGTTGTCGTTAAAGACACAGATCAAAATGGCACTAACTTGATCAAAATTGTGGTGTTAAAAAACTTTCAATCATATATAATCGTACATTTGACCATTACCAACAGTATGTTGAGAGACATATCTTAATAGTTTGTAGCGCACGACTCGCAACCTGCGAGATTTCGACCACTGAATAATCTTTCTGTCTCAAGAATTTAAGCTTATGCGCCACCTCCGAAGAGAACCACTCGTCGAGGTTTGATTTGTCCGGCAATAAACCCAACCTCAGAGTGGGATTATGTATGGAAGAAACCGAAATTTAATTTGGAAAAACATCATTTGATTGTACTGTAGTTGAGTTATAAGTTTTCGTGTAATTGTGCTATAGTGGATTGCCTCAAGGGAGCCTGGTTCTCTGAGTTCGGATGTCAGACTTTCGACGTGTATCGAGAGTCTAGTCACCGTGGGCGAGTTTGAACCCGGTTCGGCTGGCGAATACCGGGGGAAAATGCTGATAATGTGTCCGTTGCGAGTATTGGTCTCTGAAGGATGCCTCGCTGGATACGCTCAAGACTAGATAGGAGGTAACTCGTGACCGCGAACAGTTCCTGGGGACAAAGGTAATTGCTATTAGATAGTTTAGCAAACAGTGACAGATAGCGGACATGAAGATCCGGTGGAGGTTCCGAACAAAGAGTTGTTAGGGTTACGGTATGTAATGTGGGTCTAGTCCTTTCATTCGGCCTATCACGCAAATAAATAATTAATTAAGGAATATTACACAAAAAATAAGGAAAATATTGATCACTGATGATTGATAAATGTGTACCACACACAAATCAATTTATATCACAACATTTCAATACATTTTCAGCTCTCGTAAGTAATAAAACTGGTTGAGAATATCACTCTGTTCGGAGTTTTTAGCCGCCATGACTTCTAAGGTTAAGATGGGAAGGTTGCACTGACGATCATCAAATGGCCTGATTATGGCATTTATTGAATGGAATTACCTGATAATACACACTAGACGTAAAACTCACAGTTACTGTTTGAATATTTTATGTTTATTTTAATTGTTTAACAACGTTTTCACAAGTAAATCATGGACCCAACTTTAGGGACACATTTCTTTTCTATGTTCCTAACTTTGGCCCATGAAATTCATTTGACAGCATATAGCAATAAGAGTAACGTCAACAATGTGGTTTGCATTTGGATGATAAGGAACGAACAGGAAGGGAGATTTTTTCTGCCAAATCTGTATAATGAACATCACAATGTTTTGATTTAGATATTCTGCGGTCGAAAGACGATAAGCGAAATTTTTAATTTTTAATTTTTAACTTGAGTGATTTAATGTAGTTTTCGTAAAATTTTCTCTAAGAAATGTTTTGAGGAATGAAGAGTATTAAGTTAACAGTGATAGTGATAAAAAAAAATACATAAGAAAACGTTACCAAGAGCGTTTTTTTTGAGAATCAAACAGGATAGGACGAAGTTGCATCCATAAATAGACCCAATTTGGGGACAATAGACCGATATTACATACATTTCCCTGGTGAGTTTTTGTCTTAAAAAAAGTAAGTTTTTCAACTTTTTGCGGTTCCTGATAGCAAACGACATGATAAGCATATCTAAGCATACCATTTAGCAGTAGAATATCGTTTGCAGGTAAATTAATTGATGAGTTATGATTAAAAACGTAATCTATGGCTGCATATTAGACCGAGGTTAGGGACGTATACCTTATATCGTAGACAAATGGTTAGTTACAAATTCGCTGTTGTCGTCGTTGTAGGCACCGTCGTAGGCGCAGTCGTTGTCGCCGTAGGCAGTACCATTTGTGTATTTAAAATTAAACATCATCCGCTGAAATTCTATGAATTATCGTGTATCTCTGTTGTTCATTACATACCGTATGCGTGATAATGTTTGCACCATCGTACAAATAAAGGTCCCGTTTCACCTGTGCATACAATGCCTTGGTTTTCTTTGCATGCACGTAACCTATAGCTCATACCGTAGTAGGCTGTGTATGAAAGAAAATGATTTACTTTGTTGACAGTTGCACCGTGAAGAAGTGGCAGCGTATTCGTGATTTGTCCCACGCGCAAATGTCGAAACAGACATTTCAATCGCCGTGGGAGTGTCCCGGTGGACCGTCAAACGGGTTTTAGACCGAGAAAAGAAAGGACAACGATGTGGTGAAGGTGGCCACAGGTCGTCCGAGGTCAGCTCGGGTTCCGAGGGTAATTGCTGCTATCCAAAGGAAGATTTAGGTGAATCCTGTGCGTTCAATAAGGAAAATGGCAAAGGAACACGGGATCAGTGACTTTACGGCACCGAAGATCGTAAAGGAAGATTGCGGGGCGAAGTCGAGGGCACGGAAAAAACTCACATGATTACCAACCGCATCCGGAAGCTACGAGTCGAACGATGCAAGAAAATCTTGAACTTCCTTAAGCGAAAAAATCCAGTAATCCTGTTCACCGACGAGAGCATGTTTACCGTCGATCCCGTATCAAATTCCAGAACCGACCGGTATATTAGTTCTTAGTTAGGCCGACGAACTCAAGAACGTGTATCCGAGTACAGCAAGCTTCAAACATTGACCCGTACCTGGAGAGAAATGGATCCAGACTACATTATTAGACCATTATTAGAAAGTATAATTGAAGGATCCCCCCAAATGCCTCCAATGTTCATCAAATTCCTAAATTATAGATAAAAATGGAATGATCTCCTCAAAACTGATCTACTTGACTGTATCTCTGTTGTTCATTATATACCAAGCGAAAACTTAATCATCTTTTTCACCCTGGATATCTTTTGCTTATGTCGTTTTCGTTTTTGCGGTGTAGCACCGGTGTAGTGTAAGCAGGAATAAGCGCGAGTCTTTGACAGCTCAACATCATTTGTTTGTAAACAAAGGTGCATCCTATATCTACACCCTAAAATATTTCGGTGTACGGCAGTGTAGCACCGGTGTAGCTACACCGCAAAAACGAAAACGACATTAGTGAGCAGAATATTATGGGTTTAATCCCAAGCTCTCCCACAACGGAATAAACCGACATAGTTGGGTTCCATGCATTTCGGAAAGGTTGTATGCGTGATCCAGTTTCGTAGACATTTTTTTTTATTATTATAATCACTGGGGTGAGATTTGAACTCGTAACTTTGGTGAGAGAGGTACGGATGCTAACCACTACGCCGGAGTCGTCCCCCTTTTGGAAGACATTGTTGGCTGCTTTCGGGGACGTCTCTTCATTAACGACTTGGATAAGTAATACGTTTATTTAGACAAATGTGGCGTACGCCTGATCCAGTTTGGAAGACATTGTTAACTACTTTCGGGGATTTTATTTCATTGTGATAGCTACTTGTAACTGATAATCGTTGGTCGTAGCTTCTTGTGATGTAAGGGGCACGGTGGCCTTAGAGAGACCGTTTTTGCTTACTGAGCAGAAGATCATGGGTTAGAACCAAGCCCCTTACACTTTTGTGCGTAATGAAATCCGGGTACGTAAGGGGTTTTCTGTAAACTAGTTGAAAAACGCAAATATTAAATAAGAATATCATATTAAACAAAGATGAAGAGCCAGGTAGGCTAATCAATTAATATGATAAATCAATGTACCACCATAATCAACAGAAATAAACATAATTTTACTACTACTCGTTGACGGCATTCTTGTAACGAATTTTGGAGGATACAGACGTTGAGAAGGAGCAGCAGAAACAATAACAGCAGGATTGGAAGCAGCCGCAGCCGTGGGAGCTGCACCATTAATTCGTGTAGCCGTGGCCGAGGCTGGAAACCTCGGTCCGATCACGACAAAGGCGTAGTTGGTACGATAGTTTAAGTATAGTGGATTGACTGAAGAACTGAAGAATTTTTTTGAAAAATAATTGCCATTAATTACAATTACCATGAACTGATGGATGGTAG